ATTATTAAAAGAAGGCACCATGTGTGGAAGACTATTTAGCACCGTCTGTGGGAGCCAAAATGGCCAATATGTCACTCAAGAAGCCAATACGAGAACAAGTCAACACAAGACGATCGTTGTATCAGATTTATCAAGGATTTTTTTCGAGGAACGTGACTCAAAAGGGACATTACGGAAGCTGGCTTTCCAATCAACTTGAAAACTAGGACATTCTACGATACCGTGCACGACTGTAAGGGGGGGAATAATGCAGTTCGCCCAACAAAGCGCAGGTCTTTGTTACATTAAGTGCCCATAAGTTAAACGTGTGTGTGGCCAATACACACATGACACAGCCCGTCACTACCTTCCCGCTTGGTTTCGAAGGTGTTGGTTTGGTGCTCGCCTCCCTGGGGAAGACACATAGGTCACCAAACATCTGCCTAACTGTTTATCTTCCTCAAGGCTCATTAGTTTAACGCCGACAAGCGACCTGTACATAGCCGCAAGGCCTTGGCTTTTATTCATAATCGGGAACCCCCTGGGCACATCCTGAAGCTTAACCCGTCCTCCTAATAGAACGTCACAAATTTGACGTATACCCTAAGGTTAAAAATTTTCGTACTAGAAAATGGTAGCGGCTCGCGAAATTGACAAATTGCCCCGTTTTCTGTTTTGGGTCCTCTGGTAAGTTAGGATAAGGGGACTTAAGTACAATTTCTTGACGTTGGGAAACCTTAGGAGGAAGGGCTGGATACAAGACCCATAACCACCCAACTTTACCGTCGCAAGTGAACAGATCATCAAACAAGACGATCTACCTGATATTTACCACGTTATCTTGCGGGTGCAAATTGGTGAAATCTTTTAGGAACAAACTCTACATTTGATAAATGAAGTCACTGGAAAATGTATAAGGCAGACAAGGACAAGCTATATCCGGCACGGGAGATAGTCGAGGGGTCACAGGTGGAAACCGAGTACCAAAATGAGCCACAGAGACACTGTGCAACCTACCCAAACATCACCCAACCAATCAACCCAACCAACCAGGTATCATCACCCCAGCAATTAACCCAAAGCTGTCAGGCGTCCAGTAAACTCTGGGTACTCGAACAGTCACAGCCTAACGGTTGAACTGCGTTAGCCCCCAGCTCCTAAACGCGTGCCCAATAGAACAAAAAGATGATTAAAATCTTAATATTACTTACCAAATGGCCTCTTGAGTGTTGATTTCCACGCGTGCAAGAAGCGATGTTTCCATACATGGTCCCCTGGTATATAAATACTTTTCCTGTATCTCCTTTTCATTATAAGTTCTACACACTTGTATTCAATAAATTTTACTTTTCTTTTTCGTTATCTACAGTGAGCTTTTTCAATCAAGAAGTTGTAGAGAACATATAATTATCAACACAGTATGTGGCAATTCACTAGTCCAATGAGGCTATAAACACTATTGCTCTCCATCATGGCAATTTGCAGCCAAAACTGTCCTACACTTTAGAATTCGCGGAATTATTCGACGTTAATGTTGATTATCACTACACAATATATTTATACATATTACTGTCCCATTGCAATTCCTCCTGGGCTCGTTAATAGTCACAAAACAGACAAAACAAACACATGATCTCGACGCGGAATCTTCTCCCTCCTGCTGCTCTGGGGTCTCTGCTCGATCCCTCCAGCGGCTCACCCCAGAATTTAAGACGCATTCATCTATTTTAACCTACTGTGTGTATACAATATCGACATTTGCTCAAATAGACTTTTATTATAATTTAGTGCATATAATTATGTTTAGGTTAGGCTAGGTGCTTAGGTTTTGCTGTGAATTATTTGTATTTGTGGAACGTGGGTGAAGCATTTAGAGCTGCGAGTCAATTCGAGTGAAGCACAGTTCGAAGAATGTTCGAACTTCTTCAGTTGTGAGTTGTTTATTGAAATTGAAATTGAAATAAGTTTATTGAGGTAAAATACACACAAAGGGATGAGCGAGTTGTTTAAAGTGCTTGTTTTCATCCATAAATAGGGGGTTTGTGGCTGATAAACGAGAACTTGGCCAATATTTATGAGAACGGACTCACTCCCTGTAGGTGAGTGCACGTATCTGTGATCAATTAAGGGGGGGGGGGAAATAAGGGAAGATTATCAAATAGGAGGAAACTACTGTAGTAGGGAAAAGATGCTGCAGTAATTAGTGTTAGCCACATTAATGTTTATATTCTTTATGAATAACCTGCTAGCTGGAATACAGAGCTATATAAATAAAAAGTCACAGATAGCAGAATAAATTTAAGTCAATGTAGTTTACTATTTCCATGATAATGCGTTGAAAATACGAAAACGTTCGGAACTTTTGTTTCATTATCCTAGTGGCTACTTATGCATAACTGAATCACATGTTTCTTCTTTTGTGATTATTGTGCATATATATATGTTAAATGTTCAAAGGCATGCAATAAAATAAATCCTAGAACTCAGACAGTGACTTCAGACTAGTTTTTAAAACTTCCTAAACCGGAAGATAGAATTTAACATAGCAACATGATCACACATAAAATAAAGAATGTATTGGAGAAAACTGACAAAGTAGACTTTTATTGCCTGCCCAAAACATAAGAGTATATAGATGAATTCCGATTAATGATATATTAATCATTAGGAGAGTTTGGGGGAAAGTAACTTTCAGGAGAAAGCTGTACAGTACTCTTGTGCCAAAACCATCACTAGTTTAATAACTGCATTTTTAAATTTTAAACACTTTCCTTCTTCCCGTAACTACAATTAGGTAAATACACAAACTGTGTTCTGTGATTAAATTCCACAATGAAATACTGCAATTTCAAGCACAGCTCAAGTTTCAGGGTGAGAAATAGATTTATGTATTTTTCACAGATGATCATCATCCAGTTAATTGAGTAATGCATCATGCAATATACAGAGGCTATTACATAGAACTTACTTTCTTTATTCAGTATTATTATCATAATAATGAGAATGCTCTAAGCCAATATGGTTATATAGGCCTGGGACCAGGTGTTGGAACTAGGTAGGTTGCTTAACACCAATGTTTGTGTGATATACATTTGGGTGAAGAGTCCTGTATTGCAGTCACATTACAACTGAAAGGTTCTGGGTTCCATTCCCATGACTGGACCGAGCCATTTGGGCAATGTTTCCTTTCACCTGAAGCCTTTGCTCATCTAGAAGTAAATAGGTACCTAGATGTTAGGCAATGATAAGTCTGTTGCATCATGGAGGTCAGTAGTTCTATGTTACCCTACAATGGTAGACCGAATGTTATGTTTTGTGGGTTGCAAGTGTTGCCTCTTGTCAGTGTGACTCTGGAAGCACCACAATGAAGCAAGGGTATGACTTGTTCCTCCCAGAAAACCTGCTTGTCTTATATTTTTGTTTTATCATTTGTCTTCCTTTTGCTTAATAATTCACCCTCTGAGCATTTTAGATTTTCCACTCTTTTGGAAACAGTTATAAATCTAATATTGTAATGTTTCATATATGTAGTTTAGCTATAAAAACTATACAGTACATTGTTTAATTCTAAATTCAAAGAATTTAAATGGACCACGATTGTAAATAGATGTTTTTTACAGTTAAGGGGAACAAAACTACAGTCCTGTTCTTATCTGTAAAGAATTTGTTTGTACAGTAATGTGATTATCTGGCTATCAGAATAATAACTAACTCTGCTTTCAGACAACACTCAGCTCCCTTGTTGAAATCCCTAAACTTGCTCAATATTAACTCCCTCCACACATTCTCTTGTGTCAACTACATTTACAAAACCCTGTTCTTAAATGCAAACCATGCTCTGAAACTCTCCCTGGACAGATGTAATAAGACCAATTATCACCACACCAGAAATAAATATCTCTGATATCCCCAGGGTCACACTTAATCTGTGTAAACACTATGCAAATTAAGGGACCTAGTCTATGGAACTCACTCCCTAGTGAATTGAAAAGCTGTCAAACTTTTGCCTCATTTAAAAGCAAAACCAAAAAGTACCTAATTTCATCTTCGTAGTTTCCTACACCGAGCATTAAATTTGCTCTGTATCTAGTGTTACCCAATCTCCCAATTTTTATGTACTTAACCCAAACAACCTTATCATTGTGTTCATTGCTGTCTTCTTTTATGTGCTAGCCATATGCTGTATTGTGCCTACCAATTTTTGTCAACTACCATTCAAGCTGTCATTGCAATCAATCTGAGCTACCTATGTGCTTTAATATACCTACAATTTTCTCTCATCTTTTATTTTTTTTCTTGCCTTGTAACTGTTATCATTTTTTATAAATTTTGCAAGTATTTACCTACTTAAAATTTTCTTAGATTAAGGACCTGCCCGAAACGCTGCACGTACTAGTGGCTTTACAAGATTGTAATTACTATATTATGTATCCTCACAATCCCAATGTACCTTGTATATATATATATAAATAAATAAATTAGAACCTGGCAAACCTGTAGATTTATAGAGTTCAGAATGCTGGGATCTACTAGTCTCCAGATGGGCCATGCGGGTTATTTAGCATATAAACAATTTATTGCTCCAAGATACCGGGTAGTGTTACATTGGAATAAATCCTAGTGCAACTGAAATTCATGTGCAATCTTAGAACCAAGTTTCAGCTGCTCATACCATACCATTTCCTTTCTTTCTTTGAAATTTTAAAATAAAAATATAACACAGTATACAGTAATACATAAATACAATTATCATTCGTACTAATAAAATACACAGATTTTCTGAAGTAGCCTGGAAAGTTCAATAATTTTACATTAAGTTAGGGAAGAGAATTTAAACTGATCTGCAACCTAGTCACTTACACTACTTTGGTTGATACTGAACTTTTTTCATTTTTATTAAAGCTGGAAATACCTGGCAACTTAAACACGCCAACAGCTTCCTGTTGCCATTGAGACCACAAGAGATGGTGCCCCTCAGGTAAACATAAAATATGAAAGAGCGTAAAAGGAAAATCCAAACACAAAATTTAAACTTTTTAATTTCATAAAAATACAAGACAATTTTATTTTAAAAAATCACAGCTCCATGTACTGTATCTTAATAGTTTATACTGTCCAACAAAAAAGCTTTGAATACTCATGATACTCATGAATAAAATGGAATAGAAACTGAAGCAGACAATGTATTTTTAACATGGCTGCATCATACTTCATGAGGCAGAATAAATTATTATTTTGTACCAGTTATATCATTTAACATTGCATTCCTCCGAGTATATTCATAAATTAACATTTTGATTACCTAAAGATAACAACACTGTTAAAATGCTGAACAATGGAATGGAGAATTGGAAACAAGAGAGAAATACAAAGAGCTAAGGTGAGAGAAAGGGAATTAGTTCCCTGGAAAGTAGCTTAGAAGCTACTTCCACGTTTCTCCTGCCCGAAACGCTTTGCGTAATAGTGGTTTTAGGCATTGTATGTACTAGCTCTATCTATAAATCTATCCATTTTTGTAAAATCTCTTGTATGTATGTACCTTACCTGAATAAACATTTATTATTATTATTATACTATATTGGAAAACAGTACCCAGAGCAGTAGCACCCTGGGAAGCTACTCTTTAGGAAGCTACACCCTTAGAAGCTACTTCCTAGGATGCTACACCTTAGGAAGCAACTCACTATGAGGCCACACTCTAGGAAGCTGCACCCAATGAAGCTACATCCTGGGAGGCAGCACTCTGGAAAGCTACCCAGTGGAAAGACAGTGATATATTGCACCTTACGAAACTGTATCCTAGGAAGCTGTATCCTGGGAAACTGCATCCTATATGAGGAGGATACTTGATCAACCAGGCAGTGATTCCCACGTCAAGCTGCGGGCAGCCACTTCCAGCAGCCTGGTTGACCAGTCCAGCAACTAGGAGGCCTGGTCGAGGACCAGACCGCAGGGACACTATGCCCCGAAATCATCAAAGGTAATCGTAAGGTATCCTGGGATGCAGCCTTCTGGCAAGTGGTACTATGGCAAGGAGAAGTGTTTGGTAACAGAAGAGAAGGGTTTGTGAACCTTTAATGGAAGGCCCTTTTACTTAGTATTGCTTGAAGGCTTATCTTTTTCCATTACCTTTAGATAATGACATTGATAAATATATTAGACAGAAACAGGGAATGATGTGTCAGAAATACAGACAGCAAGAAGTTAGGTGGTAACAGATACACGTCTGTTGAGATTAAATAACATTACTACAAAAAAAAATGCTTGATGGGATATAAATAACCAATGCTACCAGAGACATGAATAACCAGTGCTACAAGTGATCAATGATACAAGGGGGGCATAAATTAATACATGTGCCATGAATGATCAACACTATTGGGACATGCATACTGCTACATGGGCTCAATGAATAGTGAAAGGTGCATGACTGCACCAAAGATCACAATTTACCAGGTCACAATTATGCATAGAATATAATCAGATACATGCAAGAAGCAACATGTTGAACTTCTGCAGCTTGCATCTGAAGGCACTTTTTGATTACATCAAATTTCATCCACAAAACATTGCTGATATAATTCTTGTGAAGAAAATGGATGAGGGAGAATAACAAAAGATTTCAGTGTACAATATCACTGTATCAGGTAACAAAGAACAAAAGGAGATAAATATCTGTGAAGAAAACACAGAATATATAATGTAGTACAATAGAGAAAGGGGATTGCAATAGCTGTCCCTGCAAAAAAATAAAAAAAAGTGAAACAAATAGGATCAGAAGGTAAGAATGTAAATGCTGCACAGATTACATTTATGGCAGATATGACATGGAAATGATAGCAAATACCACTACTTACCAAATGCATATAGAAACAGACTAGGTACTGTACAGAGGTAGATATGTAACATATTGTCATATGCAAAGTAACCAGATTTTGAGAGTAGAGGTTGTATTGAAGAGCTGATATACTGTATTAGAGTAAATTTACAGCATATATAATTGCTGAGGAAGTGTCACACTTACGAGTACAGTACTGTACTGTCATGCTATGTCTGATGAGTACAACACAGTATTCACATATACTGTACTGTATTTGTACGCATGTTATTTCCTACTGCATTTGAAGGAAACCTTCATCACCTACACCAGAGTGTATGTAGATAATGTGTCAAATCTTGGATTGGCTACCTTACCAGCTTGGTGCCTCAAAGACCTCTAGTGGATTTTGCCATATCCCAGATCAAGTTACTTATAGATAAATTCTATTATACAAAGTGAGATACAAATACAAACTGATAAGTAAGGGTGCATGATTAGTGTCCCCAACAATGATTTTAAGCATTACCCATTTGAAATACAGTACAGTATTTGAAAAAATGTTACTACTCGTAAATGTGTGTTACATACATTTATATGCCATTTAATTAAAAAAATAAAGATGTAAATTTATTAATATTAGTTATGAAAATATACCATTTGTCAAATACTTCATGTATACACTTGAGTTCTAACAACATTAAATGTACCCATTCATCCTGGTAATTCTAATAACCTACTCAACATCAGCTTTTCAGTAAGGGTACATTTAAAATTTATTTATCAACTAGCATTCTCTCAAGAAGAAATTTGTTTCATTATATTTCATTTCGTTTTGTAGCTTTTTGGGATCGCCTTACCATCTCGGTACAGAGGACCTCATTCCTCACCAGAACTACAGTACTGTATTTCCTTTCTGTTGCTACCATGTTACTGCTGCATACCAAAGAGAACCTCTTCACTCTGAATAAGTCTTAACGACAAGGCTTTGCTAAAATTCATTGCAATGAAGATCACTTTGTACAAAGACAATAATATTACTGTATAAGAAAAAATATCCTCAAAAATGAGACAAATACATAAATACAAATGATTGTGATACATCTATTAAAAGCCTGTTCATACTAAATATATAAATAACCCAACCCACCCACACACACATACCTTTTTTTTTCACGTGACGATATTTTAGCCAGTCCTTGACCCTTATGCAGTTGCAACCGAGACATACAGGGAAGGAATTGCATTTAAAGGTGTATCATACTTACATTATATGTTCATAATATAAACAAAGCAATGAGAATACCGTTAAAAAAAATTAATGCACACCTTTAAATGCAACTCATAACAAGTTATTAAATTTAAAAATCTATGAAAGTATGCATAAAACCATGTATTTAAAACATTTACATTGACTGCATTATATTGTAGAGAGCTCCTGAGAATGTAGTTCTAACCTAAGATTCATTTATAACTTCGATCCAATTTTGATCAAAATTAATTGGTCCTGAAATATTATTCTTTACAAAAACAAGCTCATTTTGAATTACTGTACATTTTTAGATTTTGCTCAAATATGGCTATCAATACCTACACAAATTCTTATTATTTATGGTGGTTCCACCTTAAGGATCAGTGATGCAGAAAATAAACACACTGTGCTTGTACTGTACTACACAACAAAAGCTTAATTATCTGGCACCTTTTGATCTTGAAAACATTTGTAACCAATATCTCCCAATACAAATGCGTAATGCAGAAACCCCATGAGATATCCATGAGATATCACTGGGCATGTCTCCACATGATCTCATATCATCTCAAGACTTCTCACCAATAAATAGATAACCGATCCTTATAACAGAATTAATTACTGTCCCTTATTGCAAGCTTAAATTGCTATCCAATGCACGATTTACTCAGAAACTGTCAGTGTCTACCCGCTTCTAAAAAGATTCAGGACAGCAGGATAAACAGCTGCACTCCAGCAAAGAACTTGCCACTCCAAACCTACCTTAACCTCGAGCAAGAGTCCTATGTTGACCAGACCACACACTAGAAGGTGAAGGGACGACAACGTTTCGGTCCGTCCTGGACCATTCTCAAGACAATCGACTTGAGAATGCACCAAACATAAAATGAGCCTAGAGTACAGTATTCAGTAGTAGTGGGCATCCATCAGTTTCAGAACTAATGGATGTTCAGTATTCAATGAACAGTGAAATAAGGTCAATATTCACTGAAAATCCCTGCATGCAAGACCGACGCATGATACCAGAAAAATATAGGGTGGCTTGTGTTAGGGAGGCTAGAGATATGTTGTGGCTCTGCCACTTGCTGGCAGTTAACACAGGTTGCCAGGCAGGAAAAGTAGTCGTTAGTGAGAGCCTTCCTTTGACAGTCACCTGCAATACCAAAAAGGATTTGACTTTTTTATGAACAAACCTCCATCAGTCATTCTGGGATGGACTGCACATTTGCTATTTGCTAGTGATTCCATACACCTTGCAGGAACTACTTGAGTTCCATGTGAAGTGGGTGCAGACTGTCCTCCTGTCTAAGTATGCATGAACCTGTTCAATAAAGCAGAGCTTACCATAGAAAGCAACTAAACGTGTGGCTCAGAAAACATATTATATAATATTTCCTTCAATAGTGTTAGCATATACTCTGTACTGCATATCAATATAATACTGTATATCAATATTTCCAAATACTGCCTTTCTATTTTGGCTTTTATTTAATTTTCTTCGTACTGTAGTTGGGACTAAGGGTATTTAATTTTCTGCTGCCAAGACTCATTAAATGCCTTTCATTAAACTTCTGAAGCGAAAACTCTGTGGAAAGAAAAATCTAATAAGAATCAAGTTTGTTCAGTTAACTGTAATAAGGTATAGATTTCTACAGAATATAATACAGTACAGTAATACCAAACTTTGCTGCAAAATACAATGACTCGTCACTTTCTATAGCTTGATATTTCCAAAAATTTACTATCCAGAGGGTAGGTATTTTTTTTATTTTACTAAACACTAGCTAAATTTTGCATGATATTGAGAGAAATTGGGAAAAAAATTAGCTTTGTGAGCTCTCTGGGATGAATATTTAAAACATGTAACCTTAAACTCAAAATTTATAAATTTGGATGTGCCACTGTTTTGCCAGAATGCATCACTTGTGGATAGTGAGAACTCACTGTGTATCAGTTTTATTTTTCACTAACAGGCTGAAGTAAATATTTGTATTTATTCAACCTTTGTCAAGCAACTCCCTACCTTCATATCTAAATTATTAATCAATTCATCTCTGATATGACTCCATCTTAAGGGAAGCTAAAGTAATATTAACTCCATCAACAAAACAAAAGTGTAATCTCTTCCCATCTTAAAACATAAGTAACACTAATGATCTGAGCCATTACATAATAGAAAACAGATTAAAGTCTTCAACAAATCCCATACTGTATTATACATAAGGGATTCATCTTGACTTTCTTACAAGCTATAGATAAGCATCATAACTATTTAAGTTTCTTTGTTATCAAGTCTAATCTTTGTCCAGAGAAAACACTTTAGTCACATCCAGCAATTTTAGCATTAACAAAATGATAAATCACTGATTGAAATGAAAACCCCTTTCTAAGTGCTACCAAAGTAGCCACTCTTAGCCATATGCATTGGACTTACAAAGGCACACTTTTTTGTGTCTCTGAGTGACTCTAGCTCCAGATACACACACACCCCTTTGCAATTTGTCTTGTGCCAGCTATATATGGAGCAGAGAGCTCGCTATACGGTTAACCTATATCCACTTTCAGGTGAATACACACACCATAACACACAGACATCCTTCACATTGTACTAAACTCTCAAAAAGTAAACCTTAGACACTTGAAAATTGCCAAGATTCACTCCAAACCTACAGATAACCAGCGATAACGGTAACCAACTACTCAGACAAAGGCATTCCAGTGGATATAGTATACATACTACTGAGCCTCAACAGAATGCAACCCTATGACACATTGACTAACTCCTGGGTACCTATTTATTGCTAGGTGAATAGGCGCATTAGGTGATAAGAAACGCACCAAACCATTTCTATCCCAACTGGGATTCGAACCCAGAATTCCCAATTGTGAGTCGAGAATGAATGCAACTGTACTGCCTGGACCTTAAAGCAATACTCAAAAATTTCCTCCAGTGCCATGATGTGTATCACTCCTGCCAGACTCCAATACTCCATGTTCAGACACAGTGGGATCTTACTTGAGGAAGCAGCCAAATATAAGATCTCGGAAAGTGCGTTTTGAAGTAACAAGCATCAATGCCGTTTTTTGGGGTTGCACTCAAGATGGTACGGACATATTCCTGAATTACTGGTTGGCATTCTTGCTTTCAGTGGAGGCTTTCTTATTATATAAATATTGTTTTTATTTTGGTTACCACACTAAGCAAAATGCCTCAAAACTAGATAGGTTGCATAAATTCCCTCCAACAAATTAGGTGTAAGCCACATTCATGTTAAATGAGCACAGAAAAGCTTCTAATCTCAGAAGACATATGTGGTGACAACAAAAGGTGGAATTCCTGGCAGAAAGACCACACCTGTGCCCATTCTCCTCTCACCTGTGTACACAGCATTGAAATAAAATTAAATAGGAAATCATTTGGCACTGTATGAAAAGCAAGAACTTGCACTCAAGAGGACACACAGAACACAATGGCAAAGTCAAGTGACAAGTACAAATTGTAGGTACTCTTACATTATGGCAAATATAAAAGATAGTGCTGGATGAGCACTTCAAGATTGACAAAAAAAAATGCAACTGATAAATAAAATCATATAAATCAAAATTATTAGTGTCAGTGACCAATTCACCCAGAAGATGGTAACAGAGTTGAAAAACAGAGACACAACTGCTGCACTAGTAAATTAAATAGAAGTAGTCAGCAACACAGAGCAGCTGCCCCTTGGTTTTGAGATTTATTGATGCTGACAAACGTTATAGCTAAAATGCAGAAATTCAAGAAAAGATAATGTGAATAAAAGTATAAAATTCAACCAAATTTTAATTTGTTCATTGTTAATCATATCCTCCATAGGGCATAAGTGCTAAAAGCTTAAACTTTCCAAGGTTATGCCCTGTGGACTTCATTTCCTCCTAGAAACTTTCCCCGAACCCAATCTCGGTAATCTATCGACCCTGACTGAACATAGAACAAATATGTTTAAATTTGCTCTTGTAAGTGCCACATAAATAATGAAGACAAATCCTTTAACTACACAAGTGAATATAACAGAAATAATACTTGGTTTATGAAAATAGATGCCAAGAGCAAGAGGAAGGCATATATTCCAAATTTATTTCTAAACAATACGAAAAATCATTGCATAAAGGCATGTCTGACCTTTCAGGTGCATGCCGAGCCCAGGCAATTAGGTAAGGTGTGAGGGTCCCCCCCAGCACCATCTGCAGCGGGTGATAAACTAAGAGTGGAAGAGCTAATTCCCCCAGCGCAGTCACCTCAGACACTAATATACGAAGTATAGGAAGACCTAGAATGAATTCACAAAATGATGCGTTAAATACCTGCACAAGTCATATCAACATAATATACATCAATGATTACTCTATAATCAAAAGTTGTTAACCAAAGGACATGAAATTAATGTTACACTTTCAATTACTGTACTATAAATTAGTGTCATATAATAATTATTCTTAAAAATAAAAATAAAACATTACTGTACAATACTTTGAAAATCTAATTTTTTTGTAATAAATTGAATTTTGAATATTTATAACTTTTATTAAAGTCATTTTACAAGCTCATCATAATAACTATTATACTACCATAATACACTGACTGTGATGTATTATGTAAATAATACATCACAGGAAATACACTGCAGTCTTGTACAAAATTTGTGAAGTGGCAGGGAAGAGTACTGGAAGTTGAAATACACATTTAGTATGTGTATTTAAACATTAAGTGTTGAAATTAAAACTCACATTAACTCCGACAACATTAAGTGTATTTATTTATTATTTATCCATATACATCTCAGATGGTTTGTTTCCTTTGAGTACACTCCATCCATGAGGTGATGGTTGTATGTAGAGTCCACTCTAGATATATCAAGTACCTTCACATTTATTGATTCTTCAAGGAGCTCCTGAAGTATCATTCAAAGAATTCAACATTCCAGCATGGCTTATGAAAGTGAAAAAATTCTTACTGGTTTGTATTAACATGAAGCAGAGATTATTAATGATAGATGGTAATTAAATTTCAACTTTTACTGCCATTATTCTGTAGCAAGATGGGATCTGATATAATATCCATTGAAAAGTCAGACAGAATAATTATTAAAGGGATATTTTACTCAGTGTGAGGTCGACAGTGAAAATAAGTGGTGCTGCAGAAAGGGTAAAACTGTGTAAGAAAGTATAATGAAAGAAGAGCTTTTCCATGCAAAAGACAGGAATGAAAAAAAGATAAAACATTGTGCAGATGGAATGAATGAATGAATGCATTTACAGCAATACATGAATTGCTGTAAATGTAAATGTGAATTGCAAACAAAACAAATCAAAGAAATGGTAAAGTTTTGAGTAAAAATATAAAGTATTACTGTTTTGATATGAGGCAGACCTAGTGTGAGTGACTTGTGAGTGGAGCAGAACATGATGGCCAAGGTGTCGCCTCGGGAGAACCAACCCACCAGCCATCGGTGTGACACCCACCAGGTGCCATACAAGAGAGCACACTGCATACAAACCACTGAAAATAATGCAATAAATTTGGTTTTAAATAAATATGGAGTGCTCCATTCTGAGCATGCCACTCAGTTGTTACATGAACATAGGTCTATTGAATAATAATAATAATAAAAATAATAATAATAATATTTATACAAAAGTACACACATGTGGATACACGGTACAGTAGAGAAATGTGCATTATATAAAGATACTAATACAGAGCACATCAAGCCAAAATCACGAATAGTCATGCAAGTCATCATTCTGGCACGGGCATAATGGAAAATTTCACAAACAGAACAACAGGATCATCATTATTGCTAGGGGACCAACAGGTTATATTCAACCCAGTTGGGAATGGACTCCAAAAGGTTAACTGATATAAATAGAAAGCAATTTCAAGCTCAGTAGTGAACTAACTACTTGGTGGCCCACCTGGCAACCAATGCCAACCACCGTCTACAGTGTTTTCCCGATTTGAGCCACCCTCAAGTACTTCCCCAAGTAACTAAAACTTTTTGCATAGAGGGAAAACAGGGTTGGAAGGAAAAGGGAGCAATTGAATGGGCTGTTCAAAAAGTAATTTCTTTTTAGCATTATAGTTTAAATTATCCCACTTAGTTGCTCACTGTGATTAGAACACATAAGGAAACAGTCATAGATTTAAATAAAAATGGTAATTGCTCACCTGTGCTCATGAATTGTGCTTAATGAATATTGGCAGACAGTCACGCCTCCAGCACATTCAACCAGAGGAAAGGGCTCACCCACAACAACCAAAGTTATGATTAGTGGGAAGACAACCTGCCCAGAGCCACAACAGTGGTGGCACAGGCATGGAATCTTAGGTAGGCAGTGGGTCTCAAAGATGAAATTTGATTTCCAGAAACACATTATCTTGATTTTAGCAGGTAATAGCCAAGAAGTCTTTGCAAGTCACAATATTCCACAGAACATGAACTCAAGTACTGTATGCAGGCGACGAGTCACAATAATGTGGCTTTAGGATGTTGACCAGACCACACACTAGAAGGTAAAGAGACGACGACGTTTCGGTCCGTCCTGGACCATTCTCAAGTCCATTGTGATGAGGTTGATGCAGGCAATAAATAGGCAAGAGTGAGGTTAGGAGCAAGGTATGGTGTAGTAGACCATATCACTACTACATCATACCTTGCTCCTCACCTCTCTCTTGCCTATTTATTGCCAGCATCAACTTCCTCATCACAATCGACTTGAGAATGGTCCAGGACGGACCGAAACATCGTCGTCCCTTCACCTTCTAGTGTGTGGTCTGGTCATCAAGTACTGTATACACCTGTAGCATCTCTTTGCTTTCTCACCATGTTGCTGTACCCAAATAAAACCTACATGTATTGTTCATAACAAAAAACAATATAATAATAATCTGAATAATAATGAAACAAATGAAAGGCAGGATGGGACCATTATCATAGGATCAAAGTACTGTATAGCAGAAGCACAAGCATCATACCAAAATTGTACAGCCCCTTGCTGCACAGTGTTGACTAAGTTCAGCTAAAGGTGGGAGATATTAGACAATTAACCCCTGATTGGATAACCAGAAACTCCAGGTCCTGATATTGCTTACAGACATGTGCCCACCTAATTATGCTTGTGGGAGTCGAGACTTCAGCTCTTTGGTCCCGCAGATGTTAGAGAGGAATGCTGCAAGCAAAGGACATGTCATGACATCATGGGTCTAAAATAGGTAGAAAGTTACTTGAACATTACCACACCATAGACAATCTGAGGTAAATGGGCCTTGGAATGGTAAATCAGGGTGAAGATGAAGGAAGAGGGCATCAGGAGCAGAATCCTTATTGGCTCACAAGTCACAAGGGATAATGCTGGTTCTAAAAGAGAATGAGCCAACTACAAGTGAAAGCAAGCATGGGCAAGTATAATAAATGGAGCCAAAACATTTAGAAACCAAGTTGAATATAATAAATAGTAAAACTTAGATTCATACAGTATCATTAATTCTAACCTATTAAGACTGTGGAGGCCATTCTTGGAAGCAGTTCTTCTAATCTGGATGATCTAAACATATCACAAAAAGTTGAGTAAATGATGAGAAGCAGCATCCATTGCCCCAATGTTCCTAAAGAAGATCCCCGAGACATGATGACCGGGTGAATACCTCTTCTCTGGTACAAGTGACCAGCACACAGAGGCATTAGCACAGTGAGCATAAGATACAAGATTGTATCAATGATTGGGATGGATGCCGAGACACCAAGCTGTGCAGAAATGATAAATGAATGTTTTTTAACATAAAAAACACTTAAAACAAAAAATGACAGAAAATCAGGCTTCGAGTTCTATGAAAAGTATCTTTCTGACCTGAGGAGACGTACTCTCTTCAGTATGATCTGCTTCCTTCATGGCAAGCATCAAGTAAAGTCAGGTAGGATGACAAACTGCACTGGGGGCCACAGGAAACATTTCAAAACTGTGCACCTTATATGATCCTGCAGTGACGTTTGGAAAATATCTCGGTGGCACTAGTAATGTGTGGGAATTCTATGAGACTATGGAGGATCTTTACTGTAACAAAAATCATATACCTTATAGAGCAGCAAAATCACAAGCTTTGAAATTACAAGTCAAAAGTAACATGTAAATGTAGTTAAGTATCCTGAATTAGCAGAATATAGCATCCAAAAATTTTATGGACTGAATACTAATTAAGTGATATCAAACACTGTACATCATAATAAACTTAATGAAATGGCTGCAGTCCTGGTAACTTAGCACTCGTGTCCTGATTTACAGTCTTGAAAATTTTCAAAATACTATAAAATAAATGAGTGTGCAATACAGTATAAGAATACAAATTTATGAATGAGATCAATTTACTAAAAAGCACAATATTTAATGTGTAAGCTCTTCTAGTACAGTGACACTAAAATTCAATGCTACAGCAGAAATGTAAATGGATATGAATTAGAACAAAATATCAATTAGAACTTACAACTCACCCATAGCCTTAAAGATAAAGGTGTTAAAAACAACCCCAGAAAACTTCCCACGACAGAATTAAAGATGGCTGCCGCCACATTTCCTCTACACGTTCGTGTAAGGATAACAGCAGATGAAACAGGGGGTGGCATGCAGCTCACAACCTGAAGACTGAAAATAGCATTTAATAATAATTTGTTGCTGAAAAATATCAAGATTGGGATGGATTGTATCAAAGATTGGGATGGAATATCAAGATAACATACATGCTTTAATTTTCTAATAGATATATTCACAGATGTTCAAAAAAAAAAAAAATATAGATCAACTTTTAAAATCATACAATTTTGTGCATAAACATATTACAGTACATAAATATATCCATAAACTATTTACATGAATTTTTTAGAAATGGGTAAAGCCTTTGTGATGACATCAGTGGCCAATTAGAGTCGATGAGCTTCATAAACGAATATTAATGCAGTATTGCAATCGTTAATAACTTTTTATACTGTAGTTAAACTTGAATATATTGATATAATGCTAGACTAAATAAAAGGTACAGTATTAATATATATATATATATAAAAAACAATTACATATATTCATAAACTGTAATTAAATGTTAATTGCATAAAGAAATCATGTTAATGTGATGCATCAATGAGAAAACCAGTAGGAACCATAAGGAGGAGTCGAACTTATGCTCTGAGTACTCCCAAGAAAAGGACTTGGACAACTACACCACAATTTGGTCAAAAGGAATTCAAGAATTTTTTCAAAAAGAAAAAACAACCTGGGACTCAAGTGAATCCCAGGAAGAAATTCTTTGAACCATGTCATGGGGTAGTTGTCTAGGGCGTTTGCTTGCGAGTATCCCATGCATAGGTTCGAAGCCTCCTCATGGCTCCTACCGATTTTCTCATCAATGTTAATCTTATATATAAAAGAGAAGTTATATATGACAGCTCCAATATACTGCATAATCAGATTTTAATAATTAAATATTTCATACAATAAATAAAACAATAAATAAAACTTCAAATGAATACCTTACCCTTCTAAAAGAGACTTATTTATATTCCCAAGACCATGCAGTACAAGACACACCATTTTCATTAGAAGTGGATATATTAAAAATGTTGTTCCTTGTACAAAGACATGTAACCAAGTTTGAGACATGGCAGCATGGACGTCACTTGCCTGCAGCGACAGACCACTAAGGAAGAAGATGATTGACACAGCTCCACATTTCACAGTTATCTCGGGGTATATTAATCCTGCAAAATAAATATTTGGCAACTATTGTCTTTGTATTAAAAACTACATGTTTTTACTTCATTTGAGTACCCCAAAGAACAGCAGAAACACAAATACAGTACATCTAATTTTTCAGCATTTCATATGTAGGCCTAACCACTGTAAAACTAACTGAATTGAAGTATATTCCTAGTGTTTTAAAAGCCATACTAACTGTTAAAACACTTACTACAAGCTGTATTAGCTATTCAGACCATAAATTGCGAACCATATTAGCCGCTGTCAGATCACTTACTACAAGACAATGTTGTCAGACTTGTCATTCCATAGCATTATGTTGAAACTTTACCAAGAGAGATTTGTACCATAAACCAATGATGCCATATATGTAGGTAAATCATAACAATTTTAGATAATCCAGATTTTGTAACACATTAGTACTGTATAGGCTAGTAGTATAAGTATGCATACAAAAATTGTATATATAATAATAAATTGGGTGACAAGTTACAGAAAGTTTTTCTGAATTTTTGGAAGTACAGTATAAAGAATGAATAACATTCAAGTAAAAATTAGTGAAATACCGTTTCACCAATATTACTACCACATATCATATACCAGTAGGCAGTGGTATTTATCAATATTATTACAGTGCATAATTAAGAGGCTTCATAGTAAATTCACAATTATTACAATATGCAAACCTTGTAGATGGACCTACTCATGTCATGTAGTCTAATGTTTAACTTTAATAAAATTATTATTTTCATAACCATTAGTACTCAGGGAAAGTAATTTCATATCCTTGCTAAGGCTCTAAGGTAAAGTTGCCAGTTGTTGGCCACTTCCAGATTCAATTCAATTTCTTTCTTTATTATGCACCCCATACCCATCCCGTGGGCGGTGGTGTAAAGGATTACAGAGGTACATTATCGGTTCAGGAACTGAACCCTCTAATTCGTTTAGCTAAGCAAATAACAATGTTTGACGCTAGTTACAAAATTATCAATGTTGTATACACATGTACACACCCTCATACATACATGTACATGTACATATACTGTAAATATATATATACATGTACATATATATATACTGTAACGCTAATTATAAGGGATTAAGTAGAAATCTAGCATTTGTAGTTTGGGATGCTGTTAGTTTGATATAAGAGGTTCATATTTAATATTATGTTTACACTATGTTGGATATACTGTACTGTATTTATGCCTAAATGTATTTTAATATTCATCTATGGTAATACAGTACTGTATAGTGTTGCCAGATGATAAACACTATTATAATGATGAATATTAAAATACTGTATGTTTAAAAGATGCAGCATAATGGTCATTTAACACAGTATTTACCATAGATGGTTCAGAACCGAAAGGACACGTGATCAATTCCTACCATGAGGGAGAGATGTTCAAGCACATTTCCATTCATGTGATGCCTCTGTTTACCTAGTATCAAAAGGCACCAAGCTGGGAAGACTATATAGCTGTTCACCTAGTGACATACTGTACAGGTACTTGGGAGCTGGGCAACTGTTGGGCTGTGCCCTGGGTAAGGTCAGTAGTTGGCCTAGGGGGGACTTCAATAAATTTAACAGGCTCCATGTCTCCAGAAATGGGAAACATGTTTATACTTCAGCCACCAACACATTTTTTATTAATATATTATTACATTAGGCACTGAATCCACAGCCATGATTGTAGTGTAATTCCTATAGATAAACTTGAATGTTTTAAAATTTCTACCATACATTTTCCAAGTTATTAAGTACATTTTTCATTTTCCAAGTTATTAAATACATTTTTTATTTAACTTAAAAACAGCAAATGTAGCCCATATAGCCAAGGGTAGGCAGCTTTACATCTGCCTTTAAATATGGAGATCAAAGTGTCACTCACTAAGTACAAAAGCATCCAGTACAATCTCCAGACCCAAAATGGAGAGACCATGAGCTCACACCAGTGATGAGCACACAGATACTCTTTAGACTGTACCTGTATTTAAATTATGGAATGTGCTGCACACAAGTACCATAATAATGGAACAAAATCAGGGCTACAACACTGTACCCCAAAGACTTTCTTATTTAAATTTGGGGATCAAGCAGTCTTTTCAGACGTGATGAGATTTTGTAAAACTCTTTGTATCTAAATAACACAAGCCAATTGGGTTTCACATTCTTAATTGCGGACGGATTAAGAATGTGTCCCCAGTTTAACATATTCATGCAAATCCTAGAAACCCTTACATAACCTACGGATTGTGGGTATAATTACGGGCTCACCATAGCCCATGCTACATGGAAATTTTAGTGTCGAGTAGCTAAACAGTGGGTATAACCCAATGGCGAGTAACATCATTTGGACACAGGCCCATGTGCTACGTTACTTGTATATACAGGCCTTTGGGACACCGCACTTTAACGATATAATGCAACATAATGTAACAACGTATTTTGTCCGAATTCCGAGTAAAATCACGTGTTACCAGTCACTGATCACCATCAGATCCGTCTGCCTTAACCCAGGTTATATTATGGGCCCTACAGGACTCACCTCCCTTCGAGCCCACTCCGGGTGCAATAAATGCCAGAACTATGACAGCGCACATGGTATATATGAACCAGTGTCGGGAGAAGGTCTCTCTGGCACCCATTTTATCGCCCGTCGCCACCCGGCCGACTGTCAGTCGTGGCAAGTCCCGAGCCTTTGTTGACAAACAAACTTGTGCTGGCCGCGGGGTTATTATTATATATATTTTTTTTAATTGGGGAAAAGGGCAATATCGAGAAATGATCTGAAATAAGTCTGTGGATGTAGATTAATATTTATATTAATCTACATTATTTAGAGTAATAAATATTTAAGTATCCTCTGGTACTTTATTTCGCGGCGCGTTTCATTTGCTCACTTTTCTTGACATTGAAAACTAACCTTTCTAGTGTCTCTGTGGCTTTATTATTTGGGAATTCATTTTCCATTCGTGCCCCCTTTGTTTTTGACCTTCCCATTCAATATCAAGTCTTTGTCTGCCCTGTCACTTACCCTTGAGATTTTGTAAGTGGTAGTCATGTCTTGGTAGTCTTGCTCTTTCTTTTCCTGTATTGTGAGGTTCATTCCTTTAGCATTTAATATTTGCAACGTATTTCACTTCTCGTAACTCATGCCTCTAAGCTCTGAAAATTATCCGGAATTATCCTCTTGTCTTTCTCCAGTTTAGTTTTGTTTGATAAGGTATATGAGGACTTCTTGCTATAGCTGCAGAAATGGTCTGATGTATGTGGTACATAAGGTCCTAAATGATTCCTTATTCAAATTTATAAAGGCAATTCTTATGTTAGCCAATCAATAAACCTGTTAGATTCATGCAAATTCATAAATAAAGGTATGCATTAGTATCATAACACATGCCACATAATAATTTCATTTATAATAAAACCCATCTATGATAGACCGGTAAACAATTTACAAATTAAAGGTAAATTACGTGGTATTTTAAAATCTGTTGAAATGAAACTAAAACATTTTATTCTGCTTTTATTTCATAACAATTTGTCATTAGCAATCCAACGTTGCCTTAGTTAACCTCTCACTACAGCTTTATGACTGGCATTATGAAGCCCTCAACCTAGTCGCTGATAGAATGGTCTCTGACAGAAAGGAGAGGTGGTGCTGCTTATTCTCACTGTACAGGTGAGTGTTGTCAGTCTGTGCAGCAAAGGTTTCTGGCAAGAGTGTGCAGCACAGGTGCGTGGCAAGAGTATGCAACACGGGTGAGTGTTATTCTGAAACAGACTACAAGTCCAGCCACACTGGCAGCTCCAGCTGACTTCCCATCAACGTTGAAGAATCAGTAATCTTATATCACTCGTTTTATAATTTGTTTATATGCTGCTTCTATGTTTGGTTACACTCTAAACAAAACAAGGACACGAACATACACAACAAAAACATATTTGGTTGACGTTTCTGTTGCACTTGCTACTACAACTCTCATAAGTACCACAGTTCCAAAATCCTAACTAACTACCATACATTTCATCTACTGCATAACTGCATATAACCACCACAACCTTTAGCAGGCGTTCGCATCTACAACGGCTCTTATCCAACTTGTCTCGATCACAATAAATAACTTTCACAAGTTGTATCACAATTTATATCCACCACAACCCCTGTATACCATAGTATATACGTACCACTACTCTTAACTGCCACAATACATACTTTTCAAAACCCTTAACAACCACAACTTTCTAACTGCCACAACTCCGGTAACTACTACAAATATTATCTACTACAATTCCTAGTTCCCATAACTAATAGTTATCTCAACATCTAACGTTAGCAATTTCTATTTTACAGCCAATTCCCTCTACCATAACCCATAACTGTAACTAGCTATAGTCATCCTCGTCGGTAGAAGGTCGTTTAGTTGGGCTGGGCGTGCGGGCGTGGGCGGAGGGTGGGCGGCGGATTGGCCGGGTGTGTGGGCGGTGATTGTGGGCGTCGTCAGCCAGTGCTCTCAGCTCCTCAGACATGTCCAAGAAACCCTGATCCATCACCAATCTGCAGAGGAACGAGGATTAGAGTCGTTAATGAGAGTGGTTGATTGACGTGATTAGTTGGTCAAAATTTAGAGAGTGCGAGGTCAAAAATTTAAGCCAAATCTAACATAATTAAAACACAGCCAAGTGTAATCGAGATCTAACTTAACCTAACCTAACATAAACAGGCTAGGCCTAAGTTTTGTCAGGCTAGACCTAGGTTAGACCAAGATGAGGCTCGGTTGAGTTTTTATTTTAGTTTCCCCCTTTCTTCAAAACAAATTGAACACTTAACACACTGAGAAAATCAGACAAACAGAAAACTGGACATGCGCGCAGATTCAGACCGACAAAATTAGACAAAACATTGAGCCGCTCAGGTAGACACATAGCTAACCTGGGCGAGGTGTCCGTCCTGTAATTGGAAGGAGCTGGAGATTGCCTGGAGGGTGATCTGAGTGGCGAGGAGCGGCTAGCTAGGGTCCTGGCGCTGCCTCGCCCACCATCAGGATTAGAGGGAGGCAGCAGCGAGAGAGGGAACACATCGGTACTATTAGAATACCATTTACCACAGACGAAAATGCATTTAAAAACAAAGAATTTTGTTCCCACTGACATTATTTTTCAAAGAATTTTTTCATTTGAGAACTTATGTTGTCATGTCTTATCTGCTCATTCGTGGCTTGCAAATCTACCCCATACTAGTTATGTGTTATCTAACCACCCAAGATCCTCATCCTAACTATATCCCGTTCTGAACCCGTTCCCACCCTGACCTCTCTTCATACTAATCGCACCTGTTGGGCCGAGAGGGTGCTGTGAGTTCATCGAGTCTCCTGGAGAGGTCTGTGAGTTCCCTGTGAGCGCCCACTACCCGCTCCAGGCGGCAGATAGCCTCGTAGTCGCCTTCCACTCCCGGCTCCCCGTCCACGCCCACCAGCTCCACCACCGTCCGTCGGAACTCCGTCAGCTGAGGAAATGTACAGAGCGTGAGAAGGTGTACAGAGCGTGAGGTGTACAGAGTGTAAGAGTGTACAACCTCACACAGAGTGTGAGGTTGTACACAATATCTGAAAGGGTTGATAATCTGCGGGGGGGGGGGGGGAGTACGTGCTATGCTCCAGACTGTACAACTGGATTTCATGCTTCAATTATGCATTCCAAAACCGATTCTGTGGGTGTAAGTGAAAACCTTCAAGGAAACATATGTCCAATAACCATTGTAACTCGATTTTAATGTTCCTTTAGCATGTAACACTGGAAATGAGCCATATTGCTCATAATTTACCTGAATTTACCCAAGTCATTATCTCTCTAGTGGCCTCGACGGGGTGGACAGACAGCCGGCGGTTTGTCCAAAGGTTCCTCAGACTGTTTTCTGTTTGGATTATTTACTATAATAATGTCTTGGCAGTTACAGCTTCGGCGGGTAGGCAGTTCCATTGTTTCATAACCCTGTGGGTGAAAAAGCATCTGTTTTCTGCCCTACACTGTGGCTTGTGGAACTTGAAGCTACTGTAGCTTGTATGTGTTACATTTGACATTTTAAAGAAGTTGTCTAGGTTATTGTCCTCTAACTTGCTCAGAATTTTCGATGAGATTAGCTTTATCATGTTGTCAGTGGTGTTAGTTGTGTGGTCCTCAACCCTTCCTGGCATGAGAGTCCACTCAGTTCTGGGATGATTTCCGAAGCTTTGTGTTGACCTTTCTCCAACGCTGATATGTCTTTTTGAAGATGAGGTCTCTATACTTTGATACAGTAGTCCAGATGAAGGCGCACTGAAGACTTGGACAATTTAATAAACACTTTCTTTTCCTTGGTCAAAGGTTCGCGTGACTATTCCTAAAGTTTGGTTAACTTTTTTGTTTGTACTGCAGTACCACTGTTTGTGTAGCTTTCGGTGACTTGGGGATCCTAGATCCTCTTGGTATCACTCTGCTGCATGTGGTACTGTTGATACGATTGTGGTGATGTGCAATGTTATCCTCTTCGTGCAGGCTCTTGCATTTTCCGTACTGAAAAGCACTTGCCAGTCTTCTGACTCTTTCTACTCACCTAATTATACTCACCGAATTGTATTTGCGGGGAATGAGCTTCGGCTCTTTGGTCCCGCCTCGATTCAACTGGCAATTAACTGGTGTACAGGGTTCTGAGCCTACTAGGCTCTATCATATCTCCACTTGAAACTGTGTATGGAGTCAGCCTCCATCATATCATTTCCTAATGCTTTCCATTTGTTAACTACTGTTAACGTTTGTGGAATTCATGTAGGTCTTTCTGTAGGCCTTAATATAGTTTCCACCTCCTGCTCTGCCATAAATCGCAGTATCTTCTGCAAATGTGATGAGGAGGAGTGCCAGAGGATGAGGTGTGGAGAGTGCCAGAGGGTGACAATGGAAGGAAAGACGAAGAAGTGAAATAGGAAATGAGGCGAGCGTAGAGTTTAGTGTGGATGCTTGCTAGATGATAGGTGTAGTGGTGTATTCTTCCTGGCAAGTGCACACACACATAAGTGCACACACACATAAGTGCACACACACATAAGTGCACACACACATAAGTGCACACACACATAAGTGCACACACACATAAGTGCACACACACATAAGTGCACACACACATAAGTGCACACACACATAAGTGCACACACACATAAGTGCACACACACATAAGTGCACACACACATAAGTGCACGCACACATACATTTACACAGATATACGTTAACACAGATATACGTTAACACAGATATACGTTAACACAGATATACGTTACCACAGATATACGTTAACACAGATATACGTTAACACAGATATACGTTAACACAGATATACGTTAACACAGATATACGTTAACACAGATATACGTTAACACAGATATACGTTAACACAGGCATACATTCACATAGACATGCTAAGACACATACCTTTTCAGTGTCAGTGTAGTTAACAGGTGGAATGCATTAGGCAGTGATGTGGTGGAGGCTGACTCCATACACAGTTTTAAATGGAGATATGATAAAGCCTAATAGGCTCAGGAATCTGTACACCTGTTGATTGACAGTTGAGAGGCGGGACCAAAGAATCGAAGCTCAATCCCCGCAAACACAATTATGAGTACACACACACACACACACACACACACACACACACACACACA